CCCCCCCCGCCTGTTAGATCCCGCCCGTTTTCAGCCACAGCTCTTCCAAAACAAAGCCTCGATCTCCTCCTTCAACGCCCTCATCTTCCTCTCGACCTCCCGAATCTCCTCTGTTTTCTCCTGCAGCGCCCGATCCGCCGCCCACCACGCCGGCCCTTCATTCTGGAGCCAGCCGTACCCGCTCTTCTGCGTCGAGTGTTCCGGCCCAAAGGCGAACGTGCCCGCGGCGCTCGCATGCCGACGGTAGCACTCCTGCGCCGTGCGCCGCAGCGTTTCCCGCTCCGCCTCCAAGTCCTTCTTCAACGCCTGACAGACGCCCATCTGCGCATGGCAGACCTCGCGGCTGCGCGCGTACGGATCTAGCATCTCCGCCTGGCAGACCTCGCTGCTACCTGAGTACGGGTCCGGATCCGCCGCCGACTGTGTTTCCCGCTTCGCGTCCAGCTCCTTCACCCACGACTTCCAGAGGAGCATATCCGCTTGGCAGACCTCGCTGCTGGGTACGTCCGGATTTGCCGCCGACAGCGTCTCAGAGAACAGCGTTTCCGAAGACCGCTTCCCCGACAGCTTCCTCGACAGCGTCTCCCACAGCGTCTCCGACAGCGTCCCCGAGGACAGCGTCTCCGAGGACCGCTTCCCCGACAGCTCCCCTGACAGCGTCTCCGAGGATCGCTCCCCCGACAGCTTTCCTGACAGCGTTCCCCACAACGTTCCCGACAGCGTCCCCGAGGACAGCACCTCCTCCGACTGCGTTTCCGACATCGTCCCTGGCAGCGTCTCCGACGAGCCGAGGCGCCGGATGCATGATGGTCGGCGAAGCCCGGCGATAGTGGTGCCTCCGTATCCCTTAAATGGCTCAAAGATTGGGAGGAGTGTGCGCCCCGAATCGGATGCAAGTCCTTCGTATCGGCGCCGACTCGGGACGAAAGTCGCGTATCCCGTGACCATGATGAGCACGATGAGAGAGGAGAGGTAGGGGGGCGTCCCCCATGTCATCGCGGCCGAGACGGCGAGGAGCAAGACACACGCGTAGCCGATGTGGAAGTACGGATGATTGGAAATCCCGGCGGCGATGTTGTTGTGGTTATCATTACTGCCCTCCATGACAGGTATGTTGTAGTTGGTCGACGGAAGTCGGGATATTGAGCGGGGGGAGGGGGTGGGGGGCTTAACGGATTCTCAATATGTGATTTTGCGAAACCGAGCTTTTGGGAGGAGGGAGAAAGTGAGATTCTTGATTTGTGAATGCACGAATCTGAGTTTTTGGGATGGAGAAAGTTGGTATTCTTGATCTGTAAATGTGGGAAACTGGGCTTTTGGAATGGAGAGAGTGATGATAATGGTAGATACTTATACCTATGTATGTATACACTAAAATAGTAGAATCACTCTAGGTTCTTACACTAGATATTTCAGTGATAGCGAGATGGGGTAGACTACTCTAGGTTCCGGCGCTAGATATTTGAAAAAAAAAAAAAAAGAAGACGAAAAAGATGGGGTAGACTACTCCAGGTTCCTGTTTGAAAGATACCGAGATGGAGCAGACTACTATAGGTCCCTGCGCTAGATATTTGAAAGCTAAGAGAAGAAGAAGAAGAAAGTGACATGATCACCTCGGCCGGGCCCAGCTGCGTAGTATACAAAAAAGGGGAAATTCGTAATTCGAAAAATAGATCAAAGCCTTTGCCAATGAGATTCATGGTTATACATACACATGCATCTTTGAATATCTTTCAAGTAAACCCTCGCCCTCTCCCCCCCTTCAAAAACATCAATGACTTAACGACTTTACAACTTTTACTATCATCGACGTAGTGTTCCCCAACCAGTAGGGCCCTTATACTTGAGTAGATTTGGGTAGGAATATATATATATATATATATATTTTCGCTAGCTAGACTGGGCTACCAGATCTACCTACCTACCTACCCATCTACCTATTTATTCATACTAGATCTATCCGCTTTCTCGCTTAATTTTAGTCCGTTTTAGTCAAGCCCAGCCACCTCAGAAAGGCTGCCCACCCGCCCGAGTACTACTACTACTACTACTATTACTACTACTACTACCATCACTACTTCTGTTACCACGACTACCAGCCACCTCAACGGGCGATTAGAAAATATTCTCGTCATTTATAAAAGGCGCCAGCGGCACGCTACCTGCCGTTTATCATTGTCATCACCGCTTCTCGCTCAACATGAGTCCGTACTAGTCAACACCAGCCACCTCAGTTATCAGCGGTCGAGGGACATCCTCTCTCGTCACTTACAAAGGAGCCAGCGGCACCGTTACCCACCGTTTGTTATTGCCCACCGTGATCTGGAAGTCAGCCAAAGTGGAGTGGCAACAGTAGCGTTAAAAAAGCCGGCCAGACCCCCCTCATCAACTATTGATTGACCCACTCAATCGACTAAGCGTCCCGAAACTTTTGCTTTATAGTGCTTCTCGCCGCAAGAAGGTAGAATCGCGGGTTGATTTTTCCCACAACGGGGTGTCACGCGACAGAATGGACGAAGTGAAGTTGAGATAATGGAAATTCAGATCCGCCATTTAGCTTTTCCCCATAGTCAAAATACAACTCATTTCTCTTCAACTCTCAAGTGGTGAAAAAGTAACACTGCCAAGTCTTCTTTCCCATACAACCGAGAGGTTCTCTTGATATGTATACCTCCAACATGAAGCTAAACAACCGACCGTTTGAAAACGTCGGATGTTGCCCATTTTATTCCAGGGTAATTGAAATAAGGTATCCTTGGGCGAGAGCGTTGTGCAATGTGTTTACCGTGAGCTCCGAGGTAGCTAGGGCGGGAAGGAAAGCTCTGAATTAGACTAGTAACTACAAAGAGCGTTTCAACCCTACACTACCAATACACTGTCCATTCTTAGGCCTATGTTCCTTTCCTCTCGTCCCTACGCGGCGGTGATCCGACAAAGGGAAAACAAAAGAGACGCGAAATCGTTCTACTGATACCTCCAGAATCCATACTCAGCGCAGCATCATGCTCAACAATCCAGAGAATCTGTCACAACGCAGTCTCTCTCAGTACCCCAGAGGCCAGGATTGCCACTACTGTGGAAGAGATTGGTAGCCGGTATTCTTGTTCTCTCCCTTGCGGGTTAGGCTCTCGCGAGCGCCAGTGATGAAGTAGACGAAGGAGAAGACTTGAGGGATCAGTAAAATTCAACATTTACAGGGCACATAACGTACAGATGTTAGTCACAACAATCAATCCGACCCAGCCCTCAATGACGTGCTCCCACTTCATCTGCTTGTTGTCCAAGAAGAACAGAGCACACTTGCCCGTGAGAGTGTATCCGATGTAGACCCAGCCGATGAAGAGTGCGGTGAGGAAGGAGAGCCCGCCGACATGGGTAGCGATGGGCTGATAATTTTAGCAATGACGCGGAATAGTGTGAAGCTTGACTTACCACCTGGCGTCTGATGCTGCTGAGAAATATGATTTCAATCAAAGCAATAATGGCGGAAACAGCATACTTGTCAATGACGTAGAAGGTGGTGGAGGAGCCGTGGCCGAAGGTATCGTTCGCTATCAGGGATTGAGCATGTACTATGATGAGAAGCAGACATAAATACCTGGGATGGTGGTCTTTCCCTTAGGAGCTAAGATAGCCCAGTGAAGGAAGGCCGAGACGAGAGGCCAGGTCTGGGCAAGAGTATAGAAGATGCTGAACCAGGTGCGGTTATTGGTGTCCGGGTTCTGCTTGGGTGGAGAGAAGGCCTTCTGAATAGCGGTGGCGTTGGATGAGGTCGAGGAGCTGTGGTGAGGGTAGTGGAGGTGCATGAAGGTCCAGACCTGAAAGTGTCAGCAAATATAGCAGACATATTAATTGTGTCGGGGGACAGAATTGGAACTCACAAAGGCAATCCAGTGGTAGAGGAGCTGGATCATGTATGAGACGTTGGAGAACCTGAAGTAAGCGAGGTAGCCGTCTTCGGTGTGCTTGACTTCGTAGTCGATAAGCACGATGAAGCTGACCAGCAGGTATACGGCAATCAAAGCACGCAGACCGACGAGCGCCTTCTGGCCGATGACGGTCCATGGCGAGTGACAGACGCGGAGAAAGATGGGCTGCGAGACGTCAGCGAGATATGATGGATGGTGTTGTGTTAATGGGATTGATGGGATTGGTGGAGAACGTACGTGGTCATCCTTCTTGGCCTTGGGGAGAAGAGCAGTGGACGAAGACATGGCCGACGGATGAACGGATGAGCGAGAGTGTGTTTGTGTTTATAATACTAGGAGAAGAGACGGAACACGAAGCGGTCGTGGTGTTGATGATTGTGAGACGGGATGAGTTGAGGAGGAGAAGAGAAAGAGAAGAAGAGGAAGAGGAAGAAGAGGAGAAGCTGGGGGAAAGAAAAAAGAAGCATCATGTGATCCGATATATGATGGGCATGGGTAGGAAGAAGAGGAAGGCGCGAGATGGCGATGGGGATGGGGGAAGTTGCAGGCACGGGCGAGTCAGCTTGTTGACTTTGGGAAGTACCTAGCCGAGCCCTTAAGCGACCCGATTTTCAGCACGGACCCAGTTCTGCACCAAGCGCGCATAATTCGTACCTCAAACTGTCCACAACTCCAAGCCGTAGTTATTAGTATTAGTATACATAGTAGGAAGCCACCTCGCGGCTGCAGGTCAATCTCTCTCTTCTATTTCAATTGGATCTCAACTATCTCTCTCCATCTCCATCTCCGGCTTCACCAACACCACCACAACCATCCGCGACGCACGAAACCCCCCCTCACGCCCTCACCACAAACCCGCCCTTCTCTTCCTCAACCACAACCACAACAAACTCCCACCACCATGTTCTCAACCCTATCCAACCCCCGCCAGGGCGCCCTCCAGCTCCTCAACTTCGCCCTCGTCCTCTCCACGGCCTTCATGATGTGGAAAGGCCTCTCGGTCATCTCCGACTCGCCGTCGCCCATCGTCGTCGTCCTGTCCGGCAGCATGGAGCCCGCCTTCCAGCGCGGCGACCTGCTCATCCTCTGGAACCGCAACTGGCTGGAGCCCGAGACGGGCGTCGGCGAGATTGTCGTATATAATGTGAAAGGGAAGGATATTCCGATTGTCCATCGGGTGGTTAGGAAGTTTGGCACGGGGTAGGTCGTGGTGGCTTTCGTTATTTCCCCTGGCGACTTTGGGAGCTCAGCATGGATTTGGAGCTGGTGTTCGCAGGGAGTGTTTGTTGCTGGGAGAAGAGTCCTACGTGGGAGTGAAGACGGGTTGATGGGAGGCAAAGTTTACGCATTCCCCCTTACCTCCACAGTAGCGGATTCTATACCTCTGCCTACGCGTCAAGTGGCTAACTTCCATCCGCCCGCAGAGAACACGCCAAGCTCCTGACCAAGGGCGATAACAACGACGCAGACGACACGGAGCTCTACGCCCGCGGCCAGGACTACCTCGAGCGTAAGGACATCATCGGCAGCGTCGTCGCCTACATCCCCTTTGTCGGCTACGTGACCATCATGCTGAGTGAGCACCCGTGGCTGAAGACGGTCATGCTAGGGATCATGGGCCTGGTGGTGGTGTTGCAGAGGGAATAGCACGGCCGAGAGTGAGCATGGGCACACGATGATCTTTTGGCGTTTTGATACCCGGGACGCGGTGTATGATATGGGTCGGGGGGGTTCAAAGCAAGAGGGTGTGGCATTGGTCTGGATTTGGCATGATCTAGAAGTATAACGAGCAAAGCCAGACCGACATAAGAGAGATTGTGGTCACAGGTCGGAAGAAGCAAGTTTTGCAGTCTATCCAAGCCCTCTCTCGCTCTCGCTCTCTATCCGCGCCCGCCTCTGCGTTGGCGGAGAGAGCTATGATCGATCCACTATCATTATGCCTTGCCAATATGCCGCATATTTCTAAACCCGTACAAAGATACATATATCCTTCCCGTCTCGATTCCAGTCCTCACTCTTTATCTTTCCTCTTTATCTTTCCATCTGCTATCCCGTCTCGTCTCATCCCGTCTCATCCAACTTTCAACTCAGCCGCCATCAGCCTCGTCTCGTCTCACATCAAGCCAAGTCACGGCCCCACTGTAGGTACCGGTACTGTGTACAAGGGCAAGGGCAGGGCCAAGGGCAAGGCCAAGAGCAAGGCCTATGCTCAACATCATATCCACTTCTGCATCCTGATCTCTTCTGTCTCTCCCACCTTCTTCATACATACCACATACAACTAACTATTTATTCCTACTCTCAACCAAAACCTTGCGACCGACATCCTTACCGATTTCCTCTCTTCTTCTCCACGACAGCGAAAACAGTATCCAGCTTCACCTCACCTCATCTCATCTCTCTTCGCTCCCACCGCTACCGACACCGAAGAGACCGCAGCATCGACCCCGCTACCCGTCCCCCTCCCCCTCCAAGAAACATGGCCGCCTCGCAGAAGAGGATCGCGAAGGTACGGTGCCTCGGCTTTGGCCTTTCCTCTTCCTGCAGATTCTACCCATACCTGCATGCCAAAAGAGTAAAAAGAAAAAGGCGCAAAGCTTGGAGAAGGAGAGAGAGTTCTGGGCCAGGGGCGGGAGATGGAGCTGGAGCTGGAGCTGGAGATGGAGCTGGAGCTGGAGCTTGGGGACAGAGAGCAAGAGGAAGAGGAAGAGTAAACAGAAGGGGACGCAAGAGAGCAAGAGAATAGGAATGGGATTGGGATTGGGATTGGAATTGGGAGACCCAGGGAAAGGAACAAGCTGACAACCTCTGACAGGAGCTCGCAGAGGCCATAGCCAACCCGCCCACTGGCATCAGGGTCAATCTGATCGACGACAATAATGTGCATAATTGGAATGTTGTGATGGATGGCCCGGATGGCTCGCCTTATGCTGTACGTCGTCGTCTTTCTCCCCTCCTCTCCCTTCCATCACCAACCCCTTCTCGCTCTCCACAACTGCGGAACTCAAACTTCCCTCCTGGCCCATTCCCCTTCCCTAACGTTCAACACCAAAATCCTTGCTAACATCCCCCACCCAGACCGGAAAATTCATTCTCCTCCTCACCCTTCCGCATGAATACCCTTTCAAGCCGCCCAAGCTCTCCTTCAAGACGCGCATCTACCACCCCAACGTCACCTTCGACGAGCACGGCAGCATGTGTATCGGTATCCTGAAGGCCGAAGCCTGGAAGCCCTCGTCCAAGATCCTGTCCGTGCTGACCGCCACGCAGCAGCTGCTGGTGGAGCCCGTGCCGGACGATGCCGTCGAGCAGGGTGCCGCCCAGCTGTTCAAGGAGAACCGCGCCGCGTTTGACGCAGAAGCTAAGGCGGCATGTATAAAGTACGCCGGGGGGACTTAGCTGTTAAAAGAAAGGGCGCAAAAGGAAGGGGGGCGGAGGGCGGAGGGGGGAGGGGGGAGGGGGGAGGGGGGAGATGGACTGAAAGTGGTGATGATGACAACAGCGATGCATGGCGTTATAGGCGGGCGGGCATGGGCATGGACATTGGGCCTGATAAATATGCTGCATAGCTTCTTGGTGAGCAGTGGGCCTTGATCACTTTCTCTCTATCTCTGAGCAGATATAGACAGCCTGTTGTAATAAACAGCGTTCCTTGCCCCTTCTTTCTTATTTGCTTCCTTACCTATCTATACGTACGTGATATTAGCGATACCCTATGCTCTTAGCAGGTCGCAAGCTCTTTCCTTAGAGCCGCTCAATAGGTAGTTCCGCCTATCACACCCTCAACATAATTTTTAGTCCTGACTCTAGCTTAAGCTAGCTAACAGCTAACAGCACTTCACTTCACCACACAACACATGCACCAAAATAAAAGTAAAATAAAAAAATGGTCCTCCTTTGAATAACCCGCCACCACGCCCCATCTAGCCAACGAGGCACTCAACACACCATCCATCGTAAGTACCTCTTCTATATTCAGATAGTCAGTCCTATCTAGCAGATTCCTCTAGCAATCGATTATTTATTACGAACGTTCGAACATACTACGAATAATATATATTGCACCAAGGGCGGTATCGAAGGCGTTCGAACTTTTGCCAGTATTTCGGGCTTGAAATAACTCCGAGGGGGTTTTCCAGGATGCTCGCTGAGAAGTCTGTATCTGAGTTTTTGATGTTTTTTCCTTCTTCTTCTTTCTTACTTACCTTTTAGAGATTTGTTTTTTGATTTTTTTTTTGTTTTGCCAATGTGGTAAGCGAGAGAGAGCGGAGCTGGAAAGCAAAGAGAGAGGAGGGAGAGGGCGGCCGATGTGCAGGTACCGAGAGATTAGTGATAATGGCGCGAGCCAAAACATAGCAAGAATCTATTTGATACTGGTACATTCAAATTTTGGGCGGTGCGTCGATGCTCTCTTTGCTCATCCTTTAATGCTCTGCTCACCACAGTTGCAGCCACACCGGAGCTTCTAGATGTATTTATTACTTTGGCTTGCGACGCGATTCGCTGCTGTCTTGTCCCCAGGATGAGATGGCTGTCAATGCTGGATATTATTGACGGAAAAGTCTTTTCTTTCTATATTGAATTTCTATCTATCCATAGCTTTACGAGAAGACGCTTTGATGAGTTAGAGAGAGGGGTTAGGGAATCCGTTGGAGGACTTTTTTGCCTGACACTTGAATGACGAACGCGAACGCTGGATTCATTGCTCATTGAAGTCGGTCAGCCATGCCGGACTCCTTTGAACGCCGTAAGAGGCGATAAGTTTCTGTCTATGAGCGAAAGTCCTCCCAAAAAAAGACCCCCCCGAAAACTTGCGACTTCAGTCACGTCAACGAAAATGCGAGGCTAACTAGCACACGCCGAAATGTGATCTTAATAAAGTCACCTGTGGCTTTGAAGTGCCTCAGCTGTCCATCAGCGGTAAAACGATTCGAGAGGAAAAGTACTGCTACCCTGAGCGACGAGAATGTAACCACGAGGGCGCATAAAAGGTTCCCCGGTCATATGCTGGTAAGGTAACTGAGACGGCAAAGGTAACCACGGCCCCGATCAACACCCGGCGGGAAAACAATACTCTCACCAACAGGTTCCCTATTGCAGCAACACAATGATATGATATGGTGATATTAGCTCAGCGCGGCTTGGACGATAGGGCGCGCACGAAAAGAAAACCGACGCCTCGCTCGCTAAGCGGATCAAAACACGCCACCCATGGCCAACGAACGACAACAGCTGGATCGCGCGCTGCCTCACCGAGCCCCTGGATACCCCTCCCAGAAAAGAATACAAATCAAGGAAGCATGCGAGAACTTCCAGCAGACCACAATGTAGAATATGCCCTAGAAGTATACGAGACCGACGCCCGGGGAAAGTGACGTACGGACCGATCGATCTCGCTCAAGTAGCTGGCCCCTGAATGCCTGCCTTTCTTTGCCCGCCGTAGCTGCTGTACTGCTGCTCTTTCCCAACGGATCGGTCCAGAGTAGGAGAGTAAACGACTACTACCTTCCTAAGCACGACTTATACTACCAGTAGACAAAAGCAGCATGCATACATGGCGCGACGAGAAAAACCCATCACGCGGATGGATCGAGATGCGCTCGCCGAGGGCGTTTCAACTTTCTGATTTACCTTTTTTATATACATACGCAGCTCCGTAGATCCCGTTAGGTAGCAGCCGCTGTGCCGGGAAAGAACGATGAGCCAGGCACGGATGCATGTGCAAGTACCTTTTGACGGTACGATCGTGGCGAAAGATAGCATGCGATGCAATGGGAGGCGGTGGTGGCATTGCTCTTGACTTCCTACTCACTCACTTAGATACTCACTATCTCGGCCAAAGACCCAGATCTATTCCAGTCCAATGCTAGGTTTCCATTTTTCTAACACATACATACATACATACATAAATATACCTACTATACACACGCGCGCAAATGTAAAGAAGAAGAAGAAGGTATTATTCTAAACAAGCATAATGCAGCACAGTAACCCCCCCAAAAATGCAGTCCAACTACTAAACCTCTAAAACCCCAAAGCAAAAGTTTTCCCGCTCTAAACATTCAGCAAGTACTATTACATACTGTTACATATATACATAGCACGGCATCATCATCATCATCATCGACGTAAAAAAAAAAGTAATATCATCCTTCAAAGCATCTCCCCCTCCTCGACCAGCTCCCACCTTCTCGCCGTCAATTTCTTGACCTTCTTCACCGGACTCCGGCTCTGCTGCTGTTCTATCGCCGGCTCATCCTCGTGGACACTCATCTTCTCAAAGGCCTCCTCCATCGCGAACTCCGGCGTCCGGTCCCGCAGTCGGCTCTCGCGCAACGGCATCCTCTTGCTCGGACTCCGCATGCTGACTTCCCGCCGCAACATCTCGACCTCCCTCCTCAACCGCGCGTTCTCGCTCTCGAGATCCCCGACGACTTCCTTCATCGGGCCTCGGTGGGCGTTCTCTTTATCCTCGCTGCCGTGAGTCTGGGCCTCGTCCGCGGAATCGATGCTCCGAGTATAGATTTCGAGTTTCTTGTCGAGATGCTCGTCATTGTTGTCTTTTTCAGCGGCCCAGACGGCTTTCCACCTCGCCATTTCGCTGGCAAGACGGACCTCCATCTCCGCATAGCACTCCTCGCGGATTTCCTGCTCGAGCTCGTTCATGCGATCTTGCATACTCTCCAGATGAGCTTCCGTCTCTAAGCTCTCCTGCTGACTATCTCGCAACTCGGCTCTCAAGCCATCAATCTCCTCAGACATACGAGCAATCTCCAACGCGGCAATCTCCATCGTCGCACGCTCGGTGTCATTCAACGGCGAGGAACCTGGGTGGCGATGAGAAAAGTAGTGGGAGCCAACGGCGTTAGATTGAGCGAGGATGGTAGACGTCACGCTGGGGATGCGAGGGACTGTGATTTCGCGAGCGAGAGCGGAGTAGCGGAGAATCTGAGATGTGGCGTTGAAATCACCTAGGGGGTCGGCGGTGACAATCATGACTGCCTTTTGCGGGTTGCGTGGGGCATGTTGTTGATGGTGGTGATGAGAAGTTGTGGACGAGATGGTTTGGTGAGATGTCGATGGGAAGGAGTTAGAAAAGAGAAGTTCGGTGAGCTTGCATTGGCGGAAGGGGACCAGATTTGGCTGTAACTGTCAGTGGCCGGTCCGAAAGTTAGGGAAACGAGAGCATACTTTTGCCGAAGAAGCAAGTTCAGATTGCATCTGCAGACATTGTCCCAAATACATGAGACTCTCATTGATCTTTCCAGCCTCAGCCAAAGTTGCGCCCTGGGTCTTTGCATCTCTCGCTCTCTCACTACCAGCCAGATCAACGATCGTCAGGGCACTGCCTCCCCATGGATGCACAATTCTGCCTTGTCTCCTCTTCTTGACCTCGACGCAGAAGAATCCGTGGCTTCGGCTAGATACGCTGTTGGATCCAGTACCGGCAACTCTTCGCTCATGCAAGCCAGCTTCTAAAACCATCAAGGCTTCCTTCATGCTACCACAAATGATCTTGCGCAAGCCTGCCACCACCTTGCGATCCGGGGACTGTTCAGTGGGTTTGAAAAGCAGCGGTCGGCGCTTGAAATCCTTTGCAGTCTTCCCAGGTATTGCTGGCGTCAGAAGATCGAATATGCGATCATTGTAGACCTCATACATTGATATCAATATGGCATACTCCGCATTCGGATCAGCGTCCACGGTCAAAGCAGTGATATCCGGACTCTGCGGCAGCACAGATGGTCTCTGCAGCACAGTTCGACGAGGCGTAGGAGGTACGTGAGAGGATTCGCCCTTGAACGGAGATTTAGTAACGTACTTGACAGCCTTGGTGAGCGTAGAATGCATATAAGATGGAATGAAAGATGCGAGGGGCACCGGGTCAGAACTTTCTGACTGGTGGCCTGTCCGCTTGGTCTGGACATGTTCCTCTTGCACGGGCAGAACAAGCCGTATGCTCTTCGGGCTCTCCGTGCATTCTAGCAGGGGCGGATACAGGTTTCGCGATGTGAAATGCAGAGGCTGCGAGACGTTGGAGGAAGGTAAAAGTACTACCATGGGGGTTGGGGCTCGGGAGCTGGCGCGCGATGCTCCGGATGGGTCGCCATATATGGTGTCGAGGAACATCTGGGCGGACATGACTTGGGCTTCGGAGGGGTCGGAGGCGGCGACTGTGGCGTGGAGGGAGGTTGTTGTTGCCGGGTCGAGGATGTTGTGAGAGATGGAGCGGAAGAGGAGGTCGAGCGCGAGCTGAGTGAGTCCGCGCTGCGATCGGGATCCTAGTATTGTGTGACTCTGCGGACATTCGTTAGTTGTTTCCGGACATGGTAGAAGCAAGAAAACACTCCATATACCTTTCCACTGCCCGTAACTCCCAGCGTCGCAAGCAGCGCGTCTCTGCCCTCTCCGCCTTGTGGTCCTAGTACGCCTTCGACGAGCGGCAACACGCCAGTGCCCTGGAACAGATCCAGCTGGCTCGAATCCTCTTCGAAGACTTCCGTGAATTCAAACTTCTCGATCGCACGTCTGCGATTGTCGTTCGGAGGGTTCAATGTGATGTGTGTCGGGGCCGCATCTTCGCTCGGTTCTTCGACCGTCAGGAATCGTTCGGCGGGCGGCTGTCCTGCTGGCGGAGGTCGCAGACGAAGATATACTTCGAAATGGCTTGCTTGCTTATGTTGAGGGTCCATTTTTATGGGGTTCGAAGATATTGGTGGTGGTACGGTATCGTGGTTGTGAAGTGTGCTGGTTCCAGGAGTTGTTTTCCTGGAAGTCGTGATTGTTATCGGCTGAGTTGGCAAGACAACCAACACCCGAGTCGAGACCCACATACTCCTGATAAGTAGGACTACGGACATCAACAACTCAGGGGTGCAGTTCTTTACAGGCCTGTAATTTGATATGTTTTCATATAGACGTGTAAATTCCACGAGGCCCATTGGGTCGAGTAGGTTCGTGCAAGTAAATTCCATCCGAACGAGCTCACGGACTAGGTATGTGAATTGTTCAGTTCCGGCTTTGAATTTATTTACATTGACATTTGAATGTCTCGTACTTCCTCGCCTCAATGTCGCGTATTATTTTGGGATATGAGTGCGATGTGCAACAAAACTTGGCCGGCAACTGTCCCAGAAATCCACCACATTGCGGAGCCGAATCGACTTCCAACCGGGTGTGCAATGAACATCCACATATCGCCGGATATTCACAAATTAACCTCAGCTCTCGGCCCAGCCCCCACCTCAGGCCCCTTCCCTTCAACCTCAGCTCTCGCATTCACAGCCAAGTCATCCGCCACATTCGCAGCCGTACATACATAACAAGCAAGCAACTGGTTCACTTGTACGAAATTCCACTGTACGCGTTTTTGAAACAGATCCTCGATTCCACAGGCGTAGTACCAGTGCGATGCGAATGCGACGTAGAGAGTTCCACAGGGCCACCTCGCCTCGGCCAGTCATTGGCCCTCGTCCATCTGTACGCAGAGCCCAAATCTAAAACGCAACCCAGCCTGGCAGCTTCAAAAGAGTCTTTGGAAATGTGCTGCAGGATCTGATCTTGGAGTTCCACAGGGAGACGATGGGTGGGCGTATGAGGACACGGATGAGAAGGCAAGAGCGCTTGGAGAATGACGGCTATAGAGGACTCTGTGGGTGGCGTGAGTCCGTCCATGAAGGGCAATGGACGGGTATTGATGAGATTTCCGGCGGAGTCGGCATGGCAAAGTACAATGTATCTTAGCGAAAATAGTAGATAGGTGCCATTACTGTTGCAGGCATCTTGGGAAGCCGGCTTCGCGGTTGCACAGGCTTCCTTTGCCTTCGCTTTCGCCGTGCTCAAGGCAATCGATAGTTCTTGATTCAGGATGACGACTGTACGTCCAATGACAAAAATATGATCGCCGTACGGTTCCCATGTTGGCAAATCAAGGACAGATACAGAGGGACCTCGCGTACGGGCAGACCTTCGCGATGATATTTTATCAACCCGAAAACTGCATGTTGCGATACTGATTATAGCCTTTGCAAACTTCCGGAACGTAGTATCTGCGTATGAGGCTCGAAGAACATGCCGCCACTGGCGCGAGAAGTCCCGGAATATTCTAGTAGTGAGGATAAGTCGCCGCGTGTGAATTTGAGCCTGTGGTCTGTGGTAGGGTGGGGAGAAGGGTGAGAGGTCCTGGGTTGGCGGTGCATCTGGTTTGAAAGTCGTTAATTCAGATCTATGCAAAAGGGCAAGGGCTGGATCCCTGAGACGAGAGAGGGGTAATTGAAGGTGAGAGCTTTTCCGGCCGTCAGAATACGGATACTGTTACAGTTAGTTAGCAAGAAGGCAGGAGGATCCAAGTCTTGCAGAAACCAATTTCTGTTTCTGAACGTACCGAGATACCTTCCTCGTACAGAAATAGGCCTCGGTCGAGGTCGAATGTGCAGACGGATCTCAAGCTTTGGCGTTTGTCGCCAAATGGCTTGACCACGTCGTCACGTAGGAGCCAGCCACGACCCAAGCGTGTTCGCAAAGCATGGAGTGTAGAGTCTAGAACAACGCTCCTTATTAGATGATGGATCGAAAATGCATGGGCGAAATGGATTTCAAGCTTCGGTTCCCAACGACTCGAGCCCTGTCCTGGCTCACCTATCGCTACGCCTTCAAGCCCTCTGTAGGCCTTCGCTATAACCGTGTTGAAGTGCAAATCCCGCCTATTGCAAACATGGACGCGCCCTGAGCATCCGATTAGCATTAGCCTACGCAGTACGAACTCGATGAGCAAGCCAAATAAAGATACCTACCTTGGTGGATGATTTGGAAGGTCGTTGACATCACTAGCCAGTCAAGATGTTTGAGGGGTGGTGGTGGGTGATGGAGGGAGCCTGGAATAAGGAAGGCTCGATATATATAAGGTATGCATCGACAACTACGAAGTACCTAGGAGAAGCCCACCTGCCAAGCCATGAACTTTGGTAGTCTTGCAATAGTTTTGCAATACCTTAAAGGCAGGTAGGGGGTCATTTGAGCGGTCCTCTGACCTTCTTTTATAAAAGACGATTATTGGACCGTTTAAAATCAGTACTAGTTACAAATCAAGAATAGTTCACCTTTTTGATCGTCCCCGAGCTTGGGACCGTCCCACGGCCGTCCCATGGCCGTCCCCGTT